GGACTAACTGTGAATCGGTGGGCGGTCTCAAGGATGCGAGGGTAAAGGCAGGCACATTCTAGCTCTCCTAAGGAATGACCTGAAGATTCATTTTCAAAGTAATTAACTTCTAGTTCCCCTGAAGTAGATAGAATATGGGGTATATGGAGATCTTATTAAGATGTTGGGCAATTCTATAAGCATTAGCCCAACCCCGTGAATGCCAAGGATCTTGAAGCGAAAGCCTTTGTAGAGTCTGTCACAGGTGCCGGACGGCTCCCTGCAAGAGCAGCGCATTCAACTACTGGTGCCTTCTAATTGTTGACTCCCAAAAAAGGAAAGCCTGGAGCGAGACTGAGGCGGGATTGGGATTGTTTAGGCTTTGTCTTATCAGTCCTGCACTGTCAGCTCACTTAAATTCAAAAGAAGATCACAACCCTCCCGTCTCTGTAGTGGAAATTCCGCTCTGGGCACCTGTTGATGAGAAGCCGCGGCGTCGTTGGAGACGTCTGGCTCACCAGGCTACAAAAGGGCTCCACCACAAGCGAGGTGCCCATCACAATGAGTAGGTCCTGATAATGAAGCAGCCGAAAACACCGTGACGCCTTGGGTACTGCCCCCCCTCAGTAACAATTGGATAATAGTTATAGTATGGGTATATATAGCCCTGAATAGGACCCCTAATATAGACTGTTACTGGGTGGGGGCAGTACCCAACCGACACCATAGTTGATCTGCTCTAGGGGTTGAGGGCTCAGAGCTTAGGATTCTACTCCCTAAAACCCCCCCAAATCCTAAATAGTAGTTGCCATTGTCCTTTCCATACCCCGTTATAACCCATATATAACCCTATACAACCCCTTATAAGCTCCATATAACCTTGAACTTGAACTCATTGTCAGTAGGGTTGCTGTTAAGGAGCTTAATGCATGTTACTATGTTGGGGAAATCCGATTAAATTTACTATATACCCAGTATGGTATCGCTAGACCCTTAACCGTATGTGTACCCATTGTACTAACTTCCATAAACCCTAAACCCTAAACCCCTAAGCCCCTAAACCATAACAGCACCAGTAGAACTTGACACCAAGAAGGTCAGGTTGAAGGGAGAACTGTCGAAAGTTTCACGCACCACCCCCTCGCAGTGGGGTTATATAAGGGTTATCTAGGGTTATACAAGGATAATGTAAAGAAACATGGAAGCTACCATTTAGGGTTTAGGTTACTACACAGGGGTCATGTGGGTTATTCTCAAAATTATGGACCCCTTTCAAGCATAAACTATATTACAGTTTGTGTAGTAGAAATGAGTGAGAAGCCAATTGGAACATGAAATGGAAACTGCTGTAAGCCTTGATGATTTGTGAGGCACTGAGTGGGAGAGGGGCGAAAGCTTCGTCTGTTGCATACTTGTTTCACGCCCCTTGCACGCATAAACCCCAAGCCCTTAACCTTTTCAGTTCGCAACCTAAGCCTGAAATCCCAAACCTTAAAACCCTACAACAAGAATGGCAATTTTGTTACCTCAACCCTCGTAATGTTAGGACCCAACAACTATTTTGAGACCATAGTCGGGTCGGGATCTGTACGGCTACCAAAATCCTCTTCTTGTTATCATTATCCTAAACCCTAGAGCCCCAAACCCTAAACATAAAAGCTTAGCTGTTGCAGAAAACCTCCCTACGCAGGCCTGCAGCACATCACTCCCCCAAGGTTCCAGTCTACAGGAACCCTATATGTTGAGATCCTCATATTGATTCCAGTTACGCAGGTTTTGGGGGGGGTATATGATAACTACATACTCCGGGCGAATAGGATGTAAGTCCTACAATCCTAGCCATAGCTAGAACAGCGGAAAGCTTACAACCCTGAAACATGCCCGGTTCTGACGTGAGTGTTCTCAAGCCCGCTAAAACTTCAAGGGTTTGAGGTTAAGGGTTTGGGGTTTAGGGCTTAGGGTCAAAGATGTGCGCGATACTGCAAGGATCCCATCAACATCTCTACCCCAAAAAGAATGTCATTCAAACCACTGTATGATCAATAACGCTTCAAGGCCAGGCGTCACTGACACCCGCAATAATCCAGAGGGTCTAGGCACCGAATACTTAGATACTCGGGATTTGGGTAATATCAATTATAGTACAGGCTTTCGATAATTGTGCGATCATTAGGTACTTGGACTTGGACTCTTAGAGTATTACACGGTTGGTGTAAGTAAGGGGTCTGAGGCCTGAGGCCTATGCAAAATGAGCATCAGTCTATGCCTTCATTGAAGCTCAAATACTTGTCCCTCGTCCCCCATACCACCGTACAACCCCTAGTGAGGACAGATGAACTCTCGAGCACCCAATTAAACCCTAAACCCTCAACCCGAAATAACTTCTCAATTCACTCTGTTTCCAGTACAAGGCACGCATGCTTCCAAATCATCGTCGCTCAGCTGCCAGAAGCGGTCTGGAAGACTCTCTCCGAAGAGGACAACTTTAGGCTTCCTTGCTCAACCCAAGGGGTTCGGGGTTCTAAGGTTAGAATTATCGGTCCCAAATATGGGCCCTTAGGCCTTTTAGGGGAACTGGAGGAAACTTTAAGGAAATATATAAAGTAAATAGTAAGTATATGTTGAAGGGACAAATGCTGAGCATGCCAGCGCCAGTACTTGCGCACTTGCCATCGGGACCAGTCACTCGTAGCAATATTTTTCCACGAGGCACGATCGGTTTGCTTCATTACGGCTCTTCGGCTCTATTGCTGGGTTACCCGCATTTGAGCCCTCACATTCCATACATCCACGGTTGCATGCCTCTCGGTTGCTCAAACCATGTCACAGCCAACCCGAAAAGAATCATCCCCGTCACATCGAAGGGTCAAGGACGAAGCTTCAAAAGGCATCACACAACACCCCCCGCGGCGGGAGTGAAGTTGTCTGAGCAACCGCCGTTCAAGTGGGATGCTGCTCGGGCATGTCTGTTGATCCCATTTGCGTGAAGGAATCGCACTGACTAACCATGCGAAACTTCTTCATCCTGGAATCCCAATCATCGAATGTTTTGCGCAACTCCTTCAATTCTTTCATCTCACAACCAAGCTTGTGCTCTAGGAACCGTATGTCTTGCTCGAGGTAGAGGGCACCGCGGTGGTGCTGGTTCAGAATTTCTGAGCTGTCAACAATGCGTTTCACACGCATAGTCGAACTACCTTCTTCAACCAGTTGCCCGGGTGCTTCCACACCAGTGTTGATGACAGCGTCATTTCTGCCAGTAGTACCCCCCGTTTGCGTCGCAACCTCCGCGTTCTTGATCATCATCGCCCCGAACCTCTCAAACCCACTTTGGTGCGAAGAAGCTGGTGATACATCCATCTCATCGACCCAGTTGTATCCGGCATCATTAGCAGAGAACATGTCTCTCCCTTCATGTCTGTGTGTATAGTCGTCCGTCTGCACCGCGGCCTCGCAGTCAAAGGAATTGCTGTAGACTAGCCAGTTTGGCTTGCACTTCAGCATGCGCTTGTGCTGCAGCGTCAGCCCGGGTGCCCGCCATCCTTGACTCGTCGTCCCGAGAGCCAAGGCTCTTAACCTGTTGAAGGGACAAATGCTGAGCATGCCAGCGCCAGTACTTGCGCACTTGCCATCGGGACCAGCCACTCGTAGCAAGATTTGTCCACGAGGCACGATCGGTTTGCCTCATTACGGCTCTTCGGCTCTATTGCTGGGTTACCCGCATTTGAGCCCTCACATTCCATACATCCACGGTTGCATGCCTCTCGGTTGCTCAAACCATGTCACAGCCAACCCGAAAAGAATCATCCACGTCACATCGAAGGGTCAAGGACGAAGCTTCAAAAGGCATCACACAACAGCATACCAGGGTTCAGTGGGATGCACTTAGGGGTCAAAGGGGCTTCCATAAACTACTCTGGGGCCCAAGTATAGGCTAGCGACTAGCTACAGGGGATCTTTGGCTCAGATTTTTTGGGAGGCTTCTGCACGGGCCTCATGATTGGAACAACGATTTTGTGGCAAATATATGAGTCTCACAAAGGTTATAAAGAAAGAAAAATCCTTGTGTTCCAGGCTTCTGCCGTGTGCCGTCTGCTGACTCTGAACCCGAATGCCGAAACCCATGGGATGCCTTTTTGATCCTGGATGCTACTTGTATGCTAGGCAACCTGAAACCCCAAACTGTTGGGTCTCTTACAAAAACATTTCAAAAAGGGTCCGTGATCCACCAGTGGACCATCCATCCATCAGGCGGACCTTCTGTTGTATGGGCCTAAATGTAAGTTTAGGGTCTAGGTAGAAAGGAAAGGGATATATAGGCATGTATAGGAATAATGGAAAATCAAATAGAAAATGACATGGAAGCTGTGCTTATATAGGGGCTACATAAAGACATGTATGGGTTTTAATAATCACCCCTTTGATTTCGAGGTCTGTTTGAGGTACCCTACACCATAATTGCATGAGGATTCTGGGACTGGTAACCATGTAGGTTCCTACATTAGGGCTTAGGGTTGATAGGGTTTAGGGTTTAGGCGCCGATCATGAACCGCACGACTTACATATCCTAATCCTGATTCTCGGAGCCTCAACACATTTAACAGCCATCATCTAAATACAGAGCCCTAATCTATGTATACATATATATATATATATCTGTATCCCACCCTCAGCTAACCCTAAACCCTAAACCCTATATCCCCACCCTAAACTCTGAACCCAAAGCCATCTCCCAACCCTGAACAACCCCTAAACTTATACCCAACCCCGAAGCCTGAAACACCCTCACACCGTAAAGCCCTTCGGGTGGTTTCCAGGATTTAGGGTTTAGGGAGTATACGGTGTACCTATAGAAGCCGAAATACTTTCGCCCTTTTTTCGGGACCCCAAAAAGGTACCCATACTTTTGGCCAACCCCGGTATAAGCCCCAACCCCAAACCCAACCAATAAACCACTCTCACCCTGAACCCCACAGCCCGCACTAGACCCTTTCACCGCCAGACCTTTCAGCCCAGGTGGCACTAGCCCACCTTTGGCTTCAGCTAGAGCTTTCCATCCTGCCTCGCCTTCGAAAACCGCCTTCCTTCAGGGATGCTTGGCTTACGGGTGGGAGTTGCGGGCTTACGGTTTAGGGTTTACGGCTTAGGGCGGTGTAGCTTCGGCTGCTTCAAGACATGCATCTTTCCTTAGCGTTTGTTGAGTTTGGCTTGTGCATTTCAAGCTTTATGCGCAGTCAGTACGCACTTCTTCGCCGGTATGACGCCCCACACGATTTTTGCCGTAAAGCTCAAGCCAAAATCCTCGACGGCTGCAAGGTAGAATCGCTAGAAATCCGAAATCGCGCATAAATCCAGCCCACAATACGTAAACAGATATACACATAGATATATATATATATATATGTATTCCACTAAGATGTCATGGTACTTTTTCAGCCATCCCTATCCCTGCTCGAGGGCCAGGCTGACCTCGCAAGTAGGTTGACAACCCCTATGCTCCACACAGTCACCCTAGCTATGCCTATTATAAGTCCCCTGACCCTAAACCCTACACCCTAAATGGGTTCTTCTCAAAATTTGGACCCCTGTTGGTTATAGGTTACCGCACCTAATATTTAGGGGTACCAAGATGGGACCCTAATTTTGGGAACTACCCAAATACTATAGTAGTTTCCATTTTCTTCCAAGCCAGGCCCTGAGGCCCTGCGTTTTGAGAACCTACCCAAGGACCCCTTTCTTGGCCACGTCTGATGCCTGAGCTCCTCGATGTCGACAGCCTTGCTGAATGAAATGCGGCGCACATGCTTAACGTTTAGGGTGCAGGGATTAAGGTTATCGGAATTTAGGGTAAAGGGGGCTTAGGGTACAGGGGTGCTGGGTATAGGGGTTCAGGGGTTCAAGCTATGGGGGGTTAACGGTTTAGGGTGCAGGGTTTTAGGGCATGCAACAAAGGGTCTAGAAAGCTGCACAGCAATTCAGCCAACTTGTGCTGACAGTCAAAAAGCGGATTTTCTTCAGCAGCACATCCCAGGCCCTAAACAATCTCCAAGTCAGAAGCATGGAGCTTGTACCCAAAAGACTCCCTGCACTACTTCGAATGACGCATGCCAGAGGTACTTGTTCTGGAACTTTGTCGATGACGTGCGCTTCGTCGAAGTTCCCGTGGGCGGCTACAATTTTCCTCAGCAAGAAAAGGGGCAAGGAGCTAACCCAACACCTGAGGGATACGCTGATGGGCTTCCAAAAAAAGAACCATGGTAAGAAGGGTTTAAGGGTTCAGGGACAAACCATGACCTTCTTGTCATCCTCACATTGCTGACGCAGCTGACTGATGGAACACCATCCACTCAAAAGAGCTACTTTTTTTATCCTGATGCGGAGGACTCGCTTGAGTGCCCACCGCGGGAGAAATCAGGGTCAACCAAACAATAAGTAACTACTCTACGCGTCGACAAAGGATGGCCCGATATTGGGAACCTGCAGCCCCTCTTATAAATTACTTCTTTGACTTCGCCAAGCTCATATTGCTCACCCTGAACTCTAAATCCATAACATCCCGGGATGCCAAACCCCTAAACTCTAAGCCCCTACACCCTAAACCCCTCATCCTTGGGTACTGCCTCCCCTCGGTAGCAGCTGGATAATAATTATAATACGGTTATACATAGCCCTTAATAGGACCCCCCAATATAGACTGTTACTGGGTGGGGGCAGTACCCAACCTACTCCCTAAATCCGAAAACCCACACATGTGAGACCGCTGAGGTTCTCCCGACTGACGCCTGCTTGGCGCTCCAGAGAATCCTCGCACGATCTATGCTACTTAAGGGGGAGTGGGAAATTGAATACATAGATATATCTAGGTACCATTATAGGGGTACATATGGGGAGTATATCGGGATTATTCTAGGGATCCACTCCCCCACTCTCCCTTAAGCACCAGAAAGCTACTGGCCAAATTGCGTACTCGATCAGGTACTTCAGTGTTCACATACTACAGAACTTCACCTAAGGAATTGTGCCAGTCTCCCTTTCTTCTTCCATTTCTTTTCCATTTGATTCTCCCTTTTGCCTAAACTAAACCCTTATAAGGGGCATATTGACTCCTTGGGAAAACCATGGGATGAGGAGGTCAGGAGAAATATGGGGTTTATAGTCCCCCTTAAGTAGTTATGGGATATCAGGGGATCTTATTATAATATGCAAAGGCCATATTCTATCTACGTAAGGGGGACTATAAGTGCTTGACATCTGCTCAACGCAGGCAGTTGACAGCAGCTGCAGATACCACCTTCTGCGAACAACAAACCCACGCAATGCAGTGCCATGATATATTGGGGGAACATTCATTACTATGGCTTGGGAGGGTGCATGCCTAGGCAAAAGGGATTAAAGCAGCACGACAATCATCTTTGAAGCCAACCTGGTAGCTACGCACGGACAAAATCAAGAAACACAATGAAATGCCGCAAAGTCGCGATGTTCCTCAGAGATTGCGAAGCTTGTGTATGCTTGCTTGCGCTGCAAAGACGACATGCCGCAACTCTTAGCTTTTCATCTAGGCCATGCCCACAGGAACAATGTCCTATCAGCATCCAGAAGACTTGGCGTACTTCCCGTAGCATGTTCATGACTAGGAGGACATCAATCTGCCACCCTGCAGAATATCCCTGCCAGAAATGTATAGCAGCTCAGCAGACGGCGCAAACCCAAGCAAGAAACTTTCTGAGCTGCAACAGATCCTTAAGTTCTCTGTGTACAGGCGGCCTTCATTGTGCGTAGGGAATATCTGAGCCTGAGATTTTCGTACGCAGTTGTTGCCGCTGAGAATCAGGCCCTGAATCCCCAACCAGTGTCTATAACTATCATTTGACTATACTAGGGGCCTATTTGATGGGGCTGGGGCACCCTAAGCCAGCTTGTCATTACAACAACGATCCCGTCATGAAGGCCTGTTAAGCGGGACCCTTTACTTTGCGAACCTCACCCGCTCCCTGAGTGCTCCTTGAAACATGCTATACTCACCATAGTGCACCTGAGAACTATATGAAGTAATCTTAAATACTAAAACAATCCGTAGGTTATATAAGCTATATGATTTCCTCTCAGAAGTCCTAAAAGACAAAAGCCCCTCGTGCTTTGGTTGCACTGCGAACAGGACTCTGCGTGTAGCAGCGTCGCAAGATGCCCTTCGCGACATGGAGGCACAGGGCTTCCGGATTTTAGGTTTGGAGTCTAGGGGCCGTCCACAAATCCTAGTCTCAGATTTGGTGACAAGCAAGTCATTTATAGTGGACATGTCGCATTCTGGGATTGATAAGAGAACACGAGGTGACTTTGCAAACAGGCAAAATATAGGGTGTATTCAATCATTTGGGCTCGGCCTACCTGCGTCAACAGAGGCTTTGGCCTCTAGAATGGTGTAGGTCTGTAGACAGCTACTGGCACAAATCCAGGCGTATTACGTGGGGATCATGATCATGCGTTCTACGTAAATGTTTCAGGATTCTAAATTGGTTTGGCACATCGTCCATTCTCGATCCTAGGGGGGAAGATGCACCAATGCATCCCTCCCTACTTTGCCATACTTCCTGATGCTTCCCTAGTCACTGGTTGCGGAATGCTGTTGGGTACCGGGTGGTACCGGCATGTTAGGGGGGAGGCGACTTTAGGCCCTGGTGTCCCTGTCAGATCTAAACGAGTCTGAACGAAAGTCCCAAAGCCCAAATCAGAACCTTTTTTCCACATTCCATGTAAGACCATCATCTTTCCACTCAGGCCCCCAAAACGTCGAACCCCCTTTTCTTGTTCCTTGATGCCTATCCTCAAACCCAGGCCGCAAAATTGTAGACCCATTTCTGGAAATGGGCCTTGAGGCTCTACCGCGTCTTAGCCCAAAATCCGGAACCCCCCCAGCCCTGAATCTCCCCAGACATACTCCAAGGTTCCTCTTCAATTTGGCCTTATTCGAACTAACTTAAGGCCAGTTAAAGCTACTTAAAGGCCAATCTGGGGGTTATGTAGGGGTGGTTAGGTATACTGGTGCAGCGGAGTGGCCGCCTGCGACCATATCATACTGGGGGTGTTATAGGATTATGGAAAAGAAAATGGAAACTACTATATCCTCTGTTGGAACCCCGACACATAATCACAACAGTTCACTCACCGACTTTCACTTTGGCACCAACCAGACTCGCCATGAACCCTCAGATATCCCCTTGAAGATCCTTTTCCATGAAGTTTTCCATTTGAGCGCCTATGATTCTACCCCTACAGCAATCCCTCCATTATCCCATGTATATTCCTATGTATCTCCGTATGTCCCTGTGTATCCCTATATACCTCTGTATAACCTTTATAGCTCCCCTATAACTCAACCCCATTGAAGCGCGTCAAAGTAATTTCCAAAAGCCCTAAACCCTTAAACCCTAACCATGTAAGCCCTCCACCCCTAAAACCTTAAACCCGTGAATCCTACACCCTTAAACCCTTAAACGCAAAACCCCTAAACCCCTAAATCCAAACCCTAAACCGTAAACCCCTAAACCCCGAAACCCTAAATCCGGAGCCTTGGCTTCGAGCCTCTGCTGAGAGTGCCATCGGCTTTGGGGCTTTGGGGTTTTGGGGGCTGAGGGTTTAGGCTTTAGGGTTTAGAGTTTAGGGTTCAAGGGTTTAGGGTTTTGGGGTTTGGGATTTGGGGTTTAGCATTTGGGGTTTAGGGTTTCGGGTTGAAGGTTTGAGGTTATAGTGACTCCAAAAGGAGCCATGTTGGGAGTTTTTGGGTTTGCTCTCAGCTGCTGGGCCCTACACAATTGTATTTAACCCGGCTTGAGGGTTTGGGGTTTAGGGCTTTAGATTCAGTGTGTGGAGCCCTTGAAGCGCGGTCAGCTTGAGGATTTCCTGGCTGTGATGTTTGGAAGGACATCGGGGATGCACATTTTGTGTGAGATATCACCCATCTTGCAAACCGTCTCCCCAAGCAAGGATACATCTTCACCCCTACACAAACAAGGCCCTAACGTTACAATAGCTCCGAAAAAAGGACGAAAGAGAGAAAGAGAGAGAGAGAGAGAGAGAGCCACCTGTGACACATAGCTAGAGTAAACGCTATGTGATCCAAGCGTCCCTGAACCAAAACCTAACAGCGTTGGCTGACCTAGTTACAGTAATTAGCCACTTCTCGCAACAGTTGCCCTACTGTACAGTAACCAGAAGGCATTGCACATCTAGTAATGCCCGCTTTGCATCGCCTTCCATCAGAAGACCTGCATCCCAATCGTGTCTAAGCCTAAGCTGTAGAGCCAAGCAGCAGCTTGATGAAGTAATGTGCCAGGGTTGGCTTGTAACGCCCGGGCCAGAGTTCTCGGCATAGCTCGTAGAACGGGCCTGCTGAGACGTAGGGCGATGACTTATTTCTGCTACGGTTGCGCCGGGGCTACTGCCAGTTTGGCCTTGCATGTCGAATCCGTAGTGTTGGCTCTAAGGAAACCTGGCAGCATTCCAACTGATGCGATCATTCCGGGCATCGGCTGGTGCTAGTGAGTCTCTGTCAGTATATGAGGGTTTCACAAGTGCGGTGAACCTTTCCCTGTATATGAGTGACCGGCTAGGATTCCCACAAAATCATCCTGGGGCTTAGGGTCTAGGGACTCATCTTCGGGGGAAAGTTGATTGCCCACAGGTGCCGTAGGGGCCTCGGGGCCACTATGCCGTACTGATATGTAGGCTCCTCAGATGGTCCGACCCTTTGGTAGGTTCAAGTACTTATACAACCCATTGGGGTAATATTAGGGTTACCTTGGGGTTATATTGGGATAATGGAAAATAAAATGGAGCACTCCTCTGCCCGTAATATTGCAAACCCCCAACCCCCGCCTAGTGTTAAATGTTGCCACCATGGTACACCATAACAAGCGTTTTGAAAATTTGAAACCTCAGGGGTGGGGACTTCAATATTAGGATATTTGTGGCGTGATAGCTTGCGCAAACATGCGCCAGAGATCTTCTACATGCACTTGCCCAGCTGTGGCTAAGACCCCCCAGGCTCTAAGCTTGAATGTGCGGGCGCTTGTTCTGTTGATTCCTGTAATGGCAGTGGATACCGACTGACCCTGGCCCAAGACGGATCTTGTCATGATTACTACAATCAGTCTGACAAATCCGGCCACTAATTTTCTTGTG